CTTTTCCTTTAATTACACTAAAATAATCTGAGGTTTAAACCTCCTTCAAAAAGCTCAACAACACTGTAATAAAATAGTCTAAATCTAATAAAAAATATCCTTTTCTTGTTTGGATTTTATGAGAATTTTTATTTAAATTGCTTGAACGTTACAGCATTGCTGAAACGGATATAAAAATCCATAAATTCAAGTTAATTTACTAATTTGTACAGATTTTTTTTCACCACTGTATTTAAATGAATTAGAGTGATCTTACTCTCACCTGTATCTTACTCTCACCTGTATCTTACTCCCACCTGTATCTTTCTCTCACCTGTATCTTACTCTCACCTGTATCTTTCTCTCACCTGTATCTTACTCTCACCTGTGTCTTTCTCTCACCTGTATCTTACTCTCACCTGTATCTTACTCCCACCTGTATCTTTCTCTCACCTGTATCTTACTCCCACCTGTATCTTTCTCTCACCTGTATCTTACTCTCACCTGTATCTTTCTCTCACCTGTATCTTTCTCTCACCTGTATCTTTCTCTCACCTGTATCTTACTCTCACCTGTATCTTTCTCTCACATGTATCTTACTCTCACCTGTATCTTTCTCTCACCTGTATCTTACTCTCACCTGTATCTTACTCTCACCTGTATCTTACTCTCACCTGTATCTTTCTCTCACCTGTATCTTACTCTCACCTGTATCTTACTCTCACCTGTATCTTACTCTCACCTGTATCTTACTCTCACCTGTATCTTTCTCTCACCTGTATCTTACTCTCACCTGTATCTTTCTCTCACCTGTATCTTACTCTCACCTGTATCTTTCTCTCACATGTATCTTACTCTCACCTGTATCTTTCTCTCACCTGTATCTTACTCTCACCTGTATCTTTCTCTCACCTGTATCTTACTCTCACCTGTATCTTTCTCTCACATGTATCTTACTCTCACCTGTATCTTACTCTCACCTGTATCTCCACTGTCGCTACAAGCATGCTTAGTGTGGGGGATTGTATTTGAGTCAATGAGTCAATGCAATCAACTGGTTTTCCTTAGATAGAAAACTTTGTATCAATTTGATCTGGTTGAACTGTAAAGTGCCTTGAGATGACATGTGTTGTGAATTTGGCGCTATATAAATAAACTGAATTGAAAATTGAATTGAATCTTTCTCTCACCTGTATCTTTCTCTCACCTGTATCTTTCTCTCACATGTATCTTACTCTCACCTGTATCTTTCTCTCACCTGTATCTTACTCTCACCTGTATCTTTCTCTCACCTGTATCTTTCTCTCACCTGTATCTTACTCCCACCTGCATCTTTCTCTCACCTGTATCTTACTCTCACCTGTATCTTACTGTCACCTGTATCTTTCTCTCACCTGTATCTTACTCTCACCTGTATCTTTCTCTCACCTGTATCTTACTCTCACCTGTATCTTACTCTCACCTGTATCTTACTCCCACCTGTATCTTACTCCCACCTGCATCTTTCTCTCACCTGTATCTTACTCTCACCTGTATCTTACTCTCACCTGTATCTTACTCTCACCTGTATCTTTCTCTCACCAGTATCTTTCTCTCACCTGTATCTTTCTCTCACCTGTATCTTTCTCTCACCTGTATCTTTCTCTCACCTGTATCTTACTCTCACCTGTATCTTTTTCTCACCTGTATCTTTCTCTCACCTGTATCTTTCTCTCACCTGTATCTTACTCTCACCTGTATCTTACTCCCACCTGTATCTTTCTCCCACCTGTATCTTTCTCTCACCTGTATCTTTCTCTCACCTGTATCTTACTCCCACCTGCATCTTTCTCTCACCTGTATCTTACTCTCACCTGTATCTTACTGTCACCTGTATCTTTCTCTCACCTGTATCTTACTCTCACCTGTATCTTACTCCCACCTGTATCTTTCTCCCACCTGTATCTTTCTCTCACCTGTATCTTTCTCTCACCTGTATCTTACTCCCACCTGCATCTTTCTCTCACCTGTATCTTACTCTCACCTGTATCTTACTGTCACCTGTATCTTTCTCTCACCTGTATCTTACTCTCACCTGTATCTTTCTCTCACCTGTATCTTACTCTCACCTGTATCTTACTCTCACCTGTATCTTACTCCCACCTGTATCTTACTCCCACCTGCATCTTTCTCTCACCTGTATCTTACTCTCACCTGTATCTTACTCTCACCTGTATCTTACTCTCACCTGTATCTTTCTCTCACCAGTATCTTTCTCTCACCTGTATCTTTCTCTCACCTGTATCTTTCTCTCACCTGTATCTTTCTCTCACCTGTATCTTACTCTCACCTGTATCTTTTTCTCACCTGTATCTTTCTCTCACCTGTATCTTTCTCTCACCTGTATATTACTCTCACCTGTATCTTAATCTCACCTGTATCTTTCTCTCACCTGTATCTTTCTCGCACCTGTATCTTTCTCTCACCTGTATCTTACTCTCACCTGTATCTTACTCCCACCTGTATCTTTCTCCCACCTGTATCTTTCTCTCACCTGTATCTTACTCTCACCTGTATCTTACTCCCACCTGTATCTTACTCTCACCTGCTTCTTACTCTCACCTGTATCTTTCTCTCACCTGTATCTTTCTCTCACCTGTATCTTACTCTCACCTGTATCTTACTCCCACCTGTATCTTTCTCTCACCTGTATCTTACTCCCACCTGTATCTTTCTCTCACCTGTATCTTACTCTCACCTGTATCTTTCTCTCACCTGTATCTTTCTCTCACCTGTATCTTTCTCTCACCTGTATCTTTCTCTCACCTGTATCTTACTCTCACCTGTATCTTTCTCTCACATGTATCTTACTCTCACCTGTATCTTTCTCTCACCTGTATCTTACTCTCACCTGTATCTTACTCTCACCTGTATCTTACTCTCACCTGTATCTTTCTCTCACCTGTATCTTACTCTCACCTGTATCTTACTCTCACCTGTATCTTACTCTCACCTGTATCTTACTCTCACCTGTATCTTTCTCTCACCTGTATCTTACTCTCACCTGTATCTTTCTCTCACCTGTATCTTACTCTCACCTGTATCTTTCTCTCACATGTATCTTACTCTCACCTGTATCTTTCTCTCACCTGTATCTTACTCTCACCTGTATCTTTCTCTCACCTGTATCTTACTCTCACCTGTATCTTTCTCTCACATGTATCTTACTCTCACCTGTATCTTACTCTCACCTGTATCTCCACTGTCGCTACAAGCATGCTTAGTGTGGGGGATTGTATTTGAGTCAATGAGTCAATGCAATCAACTGGTTTTCCTTAGATAGAAAACTTTGTATCAATTTGATCTGGTTGAACTGTAAAGTGCCTTGAGATGACATGTGTTGTGAATTTGGCGCTATATAAATAAACTGAATTGAAAATTGAATTGAATCTTTCTCTCACCTGTATCTTTCTCTCACCTGTATCTTTCTCTCACATGTATCTTACTCTCACCTGTATCTTTCTCTCACCTGTATCTTACTCTCACCTGTATCTTTCTCTCACCTGTATCTTTCTCTCACCTGTATCTTACTCCCACCTGCATCTTTCTCTCACCTGTATCTTACTCTCACCTGTATCTTACTGTCACCTGTATCTTTCTCTCACCTGTATCTTACTCTCACCTGTATCTTTCTCTCACCTGTATCTTACTCTCACCTGTATCTTACTCTCACCTGTATCTTACTCCCACCTGTATCTTACTCCCACCTGCATCTTTCTCTCACCTGTATCTTACTCTCACCTGTATCTTACTCTCACCTGTATCTTACTCTCACCTGTATCTTTCTCTCACCAGTATCTTTCTCTCACCTGTATCTTTCTCTCACCTGTATCTTTCTCTCACCTGTATCTTTCTCTCACCTGTATCTTACTCTCACCTGTATCTTTTTCTCACCTGTATCTTTCTCTCACCTGTATCTTTCTCTCACCTGTATATTACTCTCACCTGTATCTTAATCTCACCTGTATCTTTCTCTCACCTGTATCTTTCTCGCACCTGTATCTTTCTCTCACCTGTATCTTACTCTCACCTGTATCTTACTCCCACCTGTATCTTTCTCCCACCTGTATCTTTCTCTCACCTGTATCTTACTCTCACCTGTATCTTACTCCCACATGTATCTTACTCTCACCTGCTTCTTACTCTCACCTGTATCTTTCTCTCACCTGTATCTTTCTCTCACCTGTATCTTACTCTCACCTGTATCTTACTCCCACCTGTATCTTTCTCTCACCTGTATCTTACTCTCACCTGTATCTTTCTCTCACCTGTATCTTACTCTCACCTGTATCTTACTCCCACCTGTATCTTTCTCTCACCTGTATCTTACTCTCACCTGTATCTTTCTCTCACCTGTATCTTTCTCTCACCTGTATCTTACTCTCACCTGTATCTTACTCCCACCTGTATCTTTCTCTCACCTGTATCTTACTCCCACCTGTATCTTTCTCTCACCTGCTTCTTACTCTCACCTGTATCTTTCTCTCACCTGTATCTTACTCCCACCTGTATCTTACTCTCCCCTGCTTCTTACTCTCACCTGTATCTTTCTCCCACCTGTATCTTTCTCCCACCTGTATCTTATTCTCACCTGCTTCTTACTCTCACCTGTATCTTTCTCCCACCTGTATCTTACTCCCACCTGTATCTTTCTCCCACCTGTATCTTATTCTCACCTGCTTCTTACTCTCACCTGTATCTTTCTCTCACCTGTATCTTACTCTCACCTGTATCTTACTCTCACCTGCTTCTTACTCTCACCTGTATCTTTCTCCCACCTGTATCTTTCTCCCACCTGTATCTTTCTCCCACCTGTATCTTATTCTCACCTGCTTCTTACTCTCACCTGTATCTTTCTCTCACCTGTATCTTACTCCCACCTGTATCTTACTCTCACCTGCTTCTTACTCTCACCTGTATCTTTCTCCCACCTGTATCTTACTCCCACCTGTATCTTACTCCCACCTGTATCTTACTCTCACCTGTATCTTACTCTCAGGTAAGTGTGTGTGCGCCGCCAGCCTCTCCCTGAGGGTGATGTCGGGGTACGGAGTCACTGCAAAGGCCTGCTCCAGCTCCGACAGCTGGGCTCGGCTGAAGATTGTCCTCTTCCTTTTCCTCTGACCCTCCGTCAAAGCGCCGCCTCTGTCCGCCTCCTGAGGGGACACGGCCCCCCCGCTGAGACCCTCTTAGGGCCGCAGAAAACCAGCAACACAGTCAGGGTTAATTAACAGGGACTGAATTACGGATTTATAGTGAAATCATTGATCTGATGACGTTAAGCTGCAGGGAAATAATCAGTTTTTATGCGTTATTATTTCCTTTAGAAGATCTGTGAGCTTTTGTTTAGCTTTGATCAGAGATTGTCCAACATTTATGCTCAAATAAGAGCCTCACTACTTCACCACACTGCAAAAATCTGACCTAAAATAAGTAAAAGTTTCTTAAAATTAGTATATTTCCTCTTAATCTGAGCAGGTAAATAAAAAGAGCTGGAAAGGTAACAAGTATTTTTAACCATTACACTGCAAAAAGTATCTAGATATAAGTAAACATTTCTTAGATTAAGTGTATTTACACTTAATTTGAGTAGATAAAATAAATGATTTGCCAATGGAATGAGTATTTTTAATCTTGAAAGAAGATATTTAGATAAAATGTACTTGAAATAAGACAATGCAATTGTGTTTTGGTATTTTTAATGTAAATTGTCCTTTTCCGATGGCAAAATGTCTCTTTTTATCTCCTGAATCCAAGAACAAATGCACTTATTTTAAGAAAAAATGACTTAACTAGATTTCTATTTTTTTCACTGTAAAATAAAATACATAGAATTACATATTATTCACTTGAAATAAGATAATGGAGTTTTTTTCTTCTTGTTTAAAATGTAAATAAAGTTAGTCGGTGGTGAAACATCTGAACTACCTGCTAAAATCAAATAAAATATACCAGTTCAAGGACAATAACGCATTTTATTTTATTATTTTTGCTGTTTGTAATAGTAAAATTCACTGGAAAAACAATCTAGAAATAAGTAAAAATGTCTTAAATTGAGGGTATTTACCCTTAATTTGAGTAGGTAAACGAGATAGTCTGCCAATGGAATGAGTATTTTTACTCTTACAATAAGATGATTAGATAATATGCACTGGAAATAAGACAATGAAATTGTATTTTCTTATTCTATGTGTATATTTTCTTGTTCCATTGGCAAAATGTCTCCTTTACTTCCTCAATCCAAGAACAAATGCACTTATTTTAAGAGAAAATTACTTATATAGATTGCAATTTTTTCCAGTGTGTAGCCACCCAAGAAATGACTTAAGAGTATAAAGTATTTGGTGTTCAGCTACTGAGTAACTCCACACAAACATCGACTGTTTAAAATTTAATAAGACCAAATATAGAGGTATGTAATATTTTTATTATTCCTGCTCTGTCAGCTAAAGGCACGTTTTACAGTCTCCATATTCCATTACAAAAACACAAATCCGCTCGTCTACAGTGACTAAGAGAAAAAACACACAAAAACCATCTACAAATAAGTCAACATTTCTTAAAGTTAGTTCATTTATCTTTAATTTGAGCAGTTAAATATGAGGATTTTCCAATTAAATGAGGAATTTACTCTCAAAATAAGATAATCAGATAATATGCAATTGAAATAAGACAATTCAATTGTTTTTCTTATTTTAAATGTAAATTGTTTCGTTCCATTGGCAAAATCTCTCACTTATTTGAAGTAAAAATCACTTATTTAGATTAAAAAATTTTTGCAGTGCACATGAACGTTCCTTGCCCTTCTTCCATGTCATATCAGTTTAAGGAAACCAGTCTCATGTTTCAACTTTTTCTATAGGGAGGTCAGGCAACCCTGCAAAAACGACCTCAAAATTAGTAAAAATGTCTTAAATTAAGAGTATTTACCCTTAATTTGAGCAGGTAAATAAGATGATTTGCCAATGGAATGAGTATTTTTACTCTTAAAAGAATGTATCTAGCATTATGCACTTAAAATAAGACAATGCAATAGTTTTTTTCTTATTTTAAGTGTAAATTGTCTTGTTCCATTGGCAAAGTGTCTCACTTAAATACTTAATTCAAGAAAAAATGACTTATTTAGATTAAATTTTTTTGCAGTGAAAGAGTCGTTATCAAAACAAATTGACATTTATAGCGACCATAATGTTGTTTCTTCTTTAAAACATTCCTATTTTCTCCTGTTTCCAACCTGCAGAACGAGGAACTGCTTTAGTTTGCTCCTCCTTCACCTCCTCTCACCTTTACAGACCTCCTGGTCTCCAAACATCTCCACGTCCTTCTGCTGCTTGATCAAAGGGAAATCCGAGTGCAGGAACAGCGCCATGGGTTCAGCCTCGCTGATGAGTGAAGTTCTGCCGCTCGCCGTCCCCAGAGCCCATGGGATGGCGAGGAGGAGTCCCGGCTCGTTCCATCCCACTCAGATTAGACGGAAAGTAAAGGTGCTCCACGGACGTCTGTAATCCTCCTTTCATCACATCAACACTTCTTCAGCTGCTCCTTTGTTAAAAACCCACATATAACCCAGAATATATTGATTATTTTTGTTAACGAGACCAAGAATATTCACCTTTGGCAAAAATGATCTTTGAACAGTTACATGGTAAAAAGTCTTTATTTTGAACATAATTGGATATTTTGAATTCTATAGCACATTTTTCCTGAAGTAGGTCATGTGGCTTTTTAATCTAGCAAACTCGAAACACCCCATTTTCCCCACAAATAACTCCCAGATTAAGAGCCTCGATAATCTTTGAGATCAACATGACATCATGTCATTTCTGAGCCACATCGACTGACCAACATTCTCCAAACCTTTATTGACATCATGGATTAAACGGCGTTTCCAGTCTAAACTAGAAGGAGTTTCATTTAATGAGGAAATGATTCAGACACGGAAGGAAACTTCAGCAAGTTTCATTTCTGAACCAGAACCTTGGAAACAGGATGGATCAAACAGATCACCTGTCTGTAATATAGATCTAGATAGATAGATAGATAGATAGATAGATAGATAGATAGATAGATAGATAGATAGATAGATGATAGATAGATAGATCCAATATATAAATATAAAATATGAATTAAACCATACAAGTAAAAAACACACTAAACAAAATGTAGGTTTTTTTTATTTATTTATATTATCTATATATCTATATAGTGGACTTTATAGTGAACTCAGTTAACTTTCCAAAAAAGTTCATAAACCATCCGCTGGACTTTGTTTCTATGTTTGCAGACATTTCACCAGAGGCGTAGCCAGGAATGTTTATAAGGGTGTCCAGGCAATAACCAATGTTCACTGAGGGGTGACTGAAGGTGGATAGGTGCCAGAACCTCAGGGTCGGGCAAAAGATAAGACTAACTATACTTGCCTTTGCTAACAAACAGACGCATATATTTAAACTTCCATGCGTTCTAGATAGAAGGTATAGTGGATACAATATTTTCAGGTTTGAGTTCTGGGGCAAACATCTTTTCCATTGTCATTACTTACCTACTTTTATCGATAATCATTCTGCATAAAATTAATATTTACAAGTACTAATACCTACATAAACTGATTAATATGTTTTTATTAAAACAGTTATTTATCTATGATTTCACTGAAGACTCCTAGATGACCTGCAGAGACGCACCATTTTCTCTTTACCTCATATAACACAAAATCTACTTCTGAAAAGAAAATAAATTCTGTTCTTATCGTCTTTAATGATAGTATATTTATGTGTATAATTAACCAAAGTGCTTTTTGTTGCAAGTAATTATAAATACATGAAAAACTAGTAAGTAATAAATGAAAAATTAAAAGGAATATTCCACTTGAGAGCATTACTGCTGCCACCATCTGTATTAGAGGGGGAAAATAGTAGGGGTGGCCAATGATTGGCTAAGGGTGGCCATGGCCCCCCATCTAGCTCCGCCCCTGCATTTCGCTTCACATTCAGGTAGCTTTTTCAATTCAAAATGTCTGGAGCAGCGTTGAGTTCCAGGCTATGAGGTGAGTAACCCAAACAAAAGCTTTGTTATAGATTAGAAAACACGCAAATTGAACCAAAAAACAGATCCGCCCTTTAGTAGGGTACAGATCTATTCTAGATCTCAACCTACTTCAAGTTCAAGGAGCATTTTTATAGACAGAAGCATGTTGTGCCATGGGATCTCCCATGTCACCAATTGTATTTCAACCGTTGCGTATATTAGCTGCGACACATGAATCAAGATGCTTTGACCGAAAACATTTGATTGACAGATGAGCGCTGATATATGATTGGCTGAATTTAGGTGTTCAGGCTGACGTAGAACTAACTGGCCTGCAGAAGATAATGGAAAAAAAAACAGATTTTAAGAGAGGATTTTTTTTTTTTATATAAATTTTGGGTCAATACGGTCTGATAAAGAGAACATTTATATACATGTTTAAGCCAGAATGATTTGATATTTAAATATGATTTCCCTACGACTTGAAGGTTGTTTTCTCTTTCCTAACATAGACGGCTTCCTTCCTCTCAAACTACCTGTCTTCTTTGTCCAAAATGTGAACATTCTGGTCCTCCAAAGAATGTCCTTTGTCCATCAGGTGTAGATGTAGTGCAGAGTCTTGTCCAGAGGAGGGCGCTCTTCTGTGTTGGGCCATGCGTCTGTGGAGAGGTTGTTTGGTTTCTCCAAAGATCAGATCATTCCTCCCTGCATTGACCTGCAGAAACTCTGCTCACATTAGGTCTTTAGGATGAACTAGTCTCTGTTTCAGGGTCTGTTTGCTTTGAAATGTTCTGGGATTTAGTTTTTGCACAAGCATCATTTCATGAGCGTTAAGACGCATTGGTTAAAGCTGCTCCAGAGGGGGCAGTGGTGCGCCCGGAGGCACCAGGGGCCTGTTTCAATAAGGAAGTTCAACCAACTCTGAGTTAAAACTTGAACTCTGGGTTGACTTATCCTGAGATTGGAAACTCTGAGTTTTGGGTTTCAGAACAGCTGAAATGAGTTAGTTCAATCAACTCTAAATTGACTGACTCTGAGTTAAGCGCGTGCACCACAACTATAAAAAGCCATTATCAATGGAGCACAGATATTACGAGTCACCATGGCAACAGCGTCAGACAAAAAAAGGTGTGCATATTTCTCACCAGCAGAACTGGATGTGCTTATGCAAGCATATGCAGAATTTGAGCATGTATTTAAAAAAAAAAAGCAACACGGCTGCAGCGGCGAAGGAGAGAGAGTTAGCTTGGGTGAAAATAGCTGCTAGAGTCAATGCGTAAGTTTACATTTTAATTACTTTTATACAGTGTTGGGTGTAATAAATTAAGTTACTTAAGTCATATAAATACTGTAATTAAATTAAAGACTATAAAACAATAGTGGATTTAATATCAAATTTTAAAAGGTATATTTTGATTTGAACTTTCTCCCTCTAGTTACACACCTTGGTCAATTTAAGATTAATTCATGCAATTGAATATTGTTTATTTGAAAGCATTAGAAGTGCAGTTTCTTGTCTGTCCTTGTATTGTTCAAGTTGTTGAGGTTGATTTGGGATTTAGAAAGTAATTAATAAGTAAGTAAAACAAATTAGTAAGTAGACCAATACTTTCTAGAGACAGTAATTATTACATTAATCTAATTAGACTTGTTGAAGATAAAATTTGTAGTTATTAATTAAGAACTATTTTAGAGTAACTTACCCAACTGTTATAATATCAGAGGTGAAACTGGAAGAACGGTATTTTATTAAACCTAATTTAGTTTTCATGGATAGGTGCAATCCTGCAGGCATCAAAAGAACATGGCAGCAGCTGAAAATGAAATATAAAAACATACTTCAAGCAGGTAAGCCTTGAGCACATCATGGGAGTAGAGTAGCTACCTGGCTTTACAAACAGGATCATCCATTAAAGGACATGCCATTTCATTCCCTTTGATGCGCTCTAAGTGACTGAAATGTGTGCAATGAATACTGTATGTCCCCAAAGAATCAATGAGGTGTTTAAACACCACTTCCTCTTTAAAAAAGGGGAGGAGCCCAAAATAAACTCTGGATTTTCTGAAGAAAACCTGCTCCCGACCAGGTTAGGTTCACAGAGTAAATTGCCATGGTAACTGACTCTGAGTATAAGTTACCTCTCTTTCAGAAACGGGCTTGACTTACTCTGCTTTCTCAGGTTTAACTTACCTCTCTTTCTGAAACAGAAAACCTACAGTTTCCCTCATTTCAGGGTTAACAAACTCAGAGTTTTCACTTAACCTCCTTTCTGAAACAGGCCCCTGGTCTGTATAAAAAGATCTATTTTATTGTGGTATTAACCTAACTGCTGTTTACCGCCCGACCACTTAAAAAAATGAATAAATAAAAAGAAAAAGAAAGAAAGAAAGCAGGTTTCTGGTGAGTTCTCAGTTGATAAAACGAAAGTAATGTTATTTACTCAGAAAAAAATAAACAAGGAAATAAAATTAAAATTATATAAACAAGAGTTAGAGCAGGTAAAGTGTATAAAATTTTTAGGATTATGGTTTGATGAAAAATTAAAATGGCATATACATATACAAAAAGTTGTTGATAAATGTAAGAAAATCTTGAATATTTTGAGATGTTTGGCTGGCAGTGACTGGGGAGCAGATAGGAAATCACTAAAACAGATTTACACAAGTATGATAAGATCCAACATAGACTTTGGTTGTTTAGTTTACGGTTCAGCAGCTAAAACACATTTGGTTAAATTAGACATTATCCAACATCAGGCACTAAGATTATGTACTGGAGCATTTAAAACCACACCAACAGCAGCATTAGAAATAGAAATGGGAGAAATGCCATTAGATTTAAGAAGAACAAAATTAGAAATCAATTACTGGTTAAATTTACAAGGAAATAATGGGGATCACTCAACTTTGGACATTTTAAATCCATGCTGGGAAAAAGAAAAGAAATAAATGAGGAGTTTTGGATGGACAATTGAAAATAAAATAAAAAAAAATTAAAATGAATAGTTTAGAAATGAGTCAAACAACACCAGTATCAATGATACCTCCCTGGATTCTACCAGAAGCAACAGTAGATATGTCACTAAAGGAAAAGAAACAAGATAAATCGTACACGGTAGATATTAATTTAGTACAGTTACATTTAGACAGTTATTATCAATATATTAAAATTTATACTGATGCATTAAAAATAACTGAGAAACTAGGAATAGCATTTGTAGTACCAGAATTCAATATAAACGAATTACAGATGGATTATCAGTATACACAGGAGAAATGTTGGCAATATTATTAGCGTTACAATGGGTAGAAGACATAAAACCATTAAAAACAATAATATGTTCAGATTCAAGCTCTGCATTGTTAAGTTTAAAAAATAACCAAACAGATAGTAGGATGGACATTTTATTAGAAATAAATCATACACTGTTCAGAATACGAAATATGGGGCTGATAGTTACATTTGTGTGGGTTCCAGCACATATTGGGGTAGAAGGAAACGAGAGGGCAGATAAAATGGCAAAAAGGGCAATTAAACATTCTATTAGTTTTATAGTTAAAATACGTAAATCAGAAGGAAAGAGTATTATTAAAGAGAAACTTATGGAAATTTGGCAAAAAAGGTGGGATGAAGATAAAACCGGAAGATGGTTTTATAAAATTCAGAAGATGGTAGGAGAAATAGAAAGGAGGAAAGAGTGATAACAAGGTTAAGATTTGGTCATACAGGACTTAATTATACACTTTTTAAAATACAAAAACATAAAACGGGCAAATGTGATTTCTGTGATAAATATGAAACCATAGAACATGTTATATTAGAATGTCATAAATATGAAAGAGAGAGAAGATGTATGAGAAGAGAGTTTGAAGACATTAAGGAGAAGGTTAATTTATTAGATATACTGAGGAAAAATTTAGGGAGTAAACACATACAAATAATTCTTCGATTTCTAAAGAAAACGAAATTATTCCATAGAATTTAATTATAGTGTGTTTGTGAGTGAAGGAATGATATACAAAGCTGTGCACAAATATGTATATATTTTTAAATGAATGTGTGAATGTATGTTTAGAAGAAGTTAGGGTAGAATGTATCAGGATAGATATTTAAACCATCACGAACCACACTCCATACCAGTAAGTGGCGGTAATGCTACTAGCAGTTTGTTGCCAACCGCCATAAAACTCGACAAGAAGAAGAAGAAGGAGAAGGTTTCTGGTGGCAGCAGACTGAGCGTCATGTCTGCTAGGAAGTGTGTTGGTGGTGGGCGTGAACGCAGGGAGGATCCTTCACCTTCTGGCTCACCCTATGATGGGGGTGAAGTCTGACGCCGTGACTTGTGAGTAACTTACACTTAACTATGTCAACCATCAGATAACTTACCTGTAACTTACGGCCCACGTATGAGCAAACGAGATACATTTTGAACATGCTCAAAACTTCTCAACATACTTGCCGTATGTGAACGTGTTTCAGCGTGTTTCTGCGTTTTTCACTGTGTTTCACCGTGTTTCACCGTGTTTCTGCGTTTTTCACCGTGTTTCACCGTGTTTCTGCGTTTTTCACCTTGTTTCACCGTGTTTCACCGTGTTTCTGCGTTTTTCACCGTGTTTCTGCGTGTTTCACCGTGTTTCTGCGTTTTTCATCGTGTTTCACCGTGTTTCTGCGTTTTTCATCGTGTTTCACCGTGTTTCTGCGTTTTTCACCGTGTTTCAGCGTGTTTCACCGTGTTTCTGCGTTTTTCACCGTGTTTCTGCGTTTTTCACCGTGTTTCTGCGTTTTTCACCGTGTTTCACCGTGTTTCTGCGTTTTTCACCGTGTTTCACCGTGTTTCTGCGTTTTTCACCTTGTTTCACCGTGTTTCACCGTGTTTCTGCGTTTTTCACCGTGTTTCTGCGTGTTTCACCGTGTTTCTGCGTTTTTCATCGTGTTTCACCGTGTTTCTGCGTTTTTCACCGTGTTTCAGCGCGCTCATAACTTATGCCAAACGAACCCATAAGTTATCCAAGGTATGGCAGCGTTTTTGCCAGATTTTCCGTACGTCAGGCAAACGCTGGTTTAAATCATCAAGGTGTGAGAAGAGCTTTAGGGGCAAAGAACACAGACAGAAAGACACAAGTTCAGTGATTAATCTGTTTTGATAAATTGTACTTTTATGAGTTTTAATGAAAAATATCTTTAACCTGCAACGAAGTAATATTTTCCTGAAATAAAAATGCTGTTAAAGAAACTAGAAAGTGTACGGTAAACCTGTTTAGAATCTTTAGAAATGTTTTTTTATTACTATATTCAGAGAGGGCGTGGTTGGCTAGGTCAGTCTACACCAGGGGTCGGCAACGCAGACTGCTCAAAGAGCCACATTGGACCAGAAAATAAAAAAAAAACGAATCTGTCTGGAGGCGCAAAAATGTAAATTCATGATTAAATGTTTATCCTGGAGAAAATGTCACATAGTACCCCCAGTGGGCCTCAGCAGATGGCCGCTCACACTGAGCCTGGTTCTGCTGGAGGTTTCTTCCTGTTCAAAGGGAGTTTTTCCTCTCCACTGTCGCTACAAGCATGCTTAGTGTGAGGGATTGCTGAAGAGTCAATGAGCGATGTAATCAGCTGGTTTTCCTTAGATAGAAAACTTTGAATCAATCTGACTGGATGATCTGGTTGAACTGGAAAGTGACCTGAGATGACATGATGTGAATTGGAGCTATAGAAATAAACTGAATAGAAACTAAATAGCAGCATGAGGTGAGGTAGGAGCAGTCAACGCTCTCACCACGCTTCACCGCGCGGTTTAGGTTTTGTTGCATTGATGAAATAATAGAAACAGGATAAAGGAATCTTTCTATGGTGGACGTGTTTCTGTTGGGAGGATTGATGGAGTCACGAGGAACCAAGCAGGAAGTGACATCATCAGAGCAGAGCTCTCTAACCCTGAAGTCCCACATCCTCCGTCACCAGCGTTCCTTGGTGGGATTTATATTTTTAGGATTTGGAGACAAAATGTTACAAAGTTCCCATCCCTGCATCAGAGCGCTACCTGTTTAATCTATGAACGGTTTTCTATGCTTGAAACCAAACTAGCAGCAGTAGCGAAGTTTGGAGATGCAATCTACTTCTTCAATCTATCTTTGCTCTCCTCTAATTTATCCAGAAGTTCTGCAATCACTCTTTTTATTATTTGACAACTTCTCATTCAAAGCAAACATGCAGGCGATCCTTCCCAAAATGATTAACTCCATTCTTCTTTGAATCCTCTGTTCTCATCTTACCTGTTTACCCTTTGACCACTGATCTCTATGGCTATGATGCAAATTTTCATTTAAAGTAATGTTTACATTTACATTTATTATACAATCTTTACAGCATTGGAAAACATAATGAATGTTTGTTTGACCTCCTGCACACCATATAAAAAAAATTTAAAAAGTTCATACATTTTTGAAAAAGCTCCAGGGAGCCACAAGGGGGCGCTAAAGAGCTGCGACCCCTGGGCTACACTAATCAGGCTGTACCAACAGGAAGGTGAACAAACAACTGTCTTTCCAAATAAATGCCTGATGAGACCAAAGCAACTCGTTAATCCATCAATGCTGCCCAGATAAATCTGTTATGAACAGAAAATGGTTTGATCTTTATCTGTAATAACTTATTTTACATGTTCCCCACATGAAACACAAACTATGCATTTGTCACCATTAACTCTGGAAAATAGTTAATTAATTGATTTCTGCATTTTTGTCATTGAGTTATTGTTAATATACCAACAGTCAAATATCATTGCTGAAAAGTTCAGTCAGCAGGAATAATCAATGGATCCTTATTTATACCTAAAACTACCTTAAACGTTTGCAGTTATTTAAGGAATTTAGCGTTAATCAGTAAAAAAAAAATGTAAACAATAATTTTCTTGGCGATCACTGAGTCTGGGAGCGGCCATTTTTGCCCAAATATAGTAGCCCCTCCCTCCTGCCATCTTCCAGCAGTGACGTCACGGTGCGGTAAGCCTAGCGCCATTCTCCCCGCTTTCCAAGCTAAATCAATGGGAACTACTAGACACATCTGCAATCAACAACAATTATTGAAGATTTCCAGAGGACTTCACCATTGAAATTCACCAGAGCTATAGTGAAACTGACAATGCCCACGTGCATGGCAGCTGGATGCTGGAATACATCGGGTAAAAGTGGAAAAAAGAGTTATTCCACCTTTCTGATTCCTGATCCTCCACGGACGGGTTGGTCGTTGGATCGCCAACTTGAAGAGGGAGGATTTGCCATCGAACTTCTGGCCAGAGAAAAAACCCGTAATATGTAGCCAACATTTGGAAGAAGAATGTTTTCAAGATGACTTGGATAATAGCGCGTTGTGACAAACACCAGATACAGCACTGGGACTTGATCAACAGCCGATACCGCACCGTGACGTCACTAACCAGTAGGTGGCAGTAGTGTTCTTTGACAAACATGGATGCCTCCAGTAAAGCACATTCACATGAAAATTACTCTGAATTAAAAACACTGATCATTTATTGAACAGGATGGAATCATTTCAGATTTAAAGAACTTTCAGAAGTTTGAATTCTGAATATGAGCGACTTTTCCTTTAAGGAGGATGGGATTTACATCCATATGAGAACAAGAATGACCTTGTTGGGTTACAGGGGCGGCCATGGGCCCCATAGCTGTGATAAAACTGCTCTTAATGTTTGCTCAGTGTTTTTATTACACCCCAAATAACAGAATTCTTTATTGGCTCTGTTCTTTTCTTCTCCTCCTGATAACAAAACATCCCCCAGAATATCACTCAGCAGCTCATCATGTTTTTTTGTTGTCGCAGACATCTGGTGTCTTTCATGAAACAAAGCACATCTTCACATCTTCAGTTTTTTTTTTCACACACCAATAAACATCATAAAAACAATAAAACGTTAAAACAAAAAAGAAAAACAGATCTCTGTGTTGCTCATTCCCAATAAATCCGTCCAAGGCGTACCGTCATTCCAGCTCCCACCACTTTCAGTCTGCTTCAGTGGTGAGCTGGAGGGGAAGTGCATCAGTTCACCTCTAGAGGGCGATCCTGGCTTTGGAAATGGCTCTGAAGCCAACAAGGTTGACAGCAAAGAAAGGTTGAACGTCAGGAAGCTGGCCATGTTCCTGAGCTTCACTCAAACTTGCGCAGGTGGTTGTAGAGGGACTGGACGTAGGTGAAGACACACATGGGGTCTGGCTTGCGACCCATGATCATCATGTCCTCCACCTCAATGAGCCGGTCGCAGCCTGCCTTGGCTCTGGGGACAGAGACAGAGGAAGGACAGTCAGAGGACTGAGCTAAAATACAACCGAGAATTTGAATCTTTTTCTGTTTGCAGGGTGAAATAAAAAAAGAGGATGATTGAACCTACTGTTCATTGCAAATCTTCTAATACCACCTGGAATCTTTCACATTTCAATTAAATTCAGTTTATTTCTATAGTTCACAACACACGTCATCTCAAGCCACCTTACAGTTCACCAGATCATCCAGTCAGACTGAAGGAAAGATGTAATCAGCGTTATCCATTGTATGAATGGGGAAAAAAAAGTTCCAGGATCTGATGGTAGCTCCTCTTTCCATTTTGATTTTAAAAAAGCTTCCTGGATGGGAAGCAAAACGTCTTTGAAGTTGGAAAATAAAGTCCAGTTGAGTGTTTTTTTTTTTGTTTTTAACTTTTCTGGAACTCTGCTTTTTGAGTAACACGCCCCCGTATCCATTGGAACAATGTTTAAAACACCCTCATGCTCTAATAGCCGTCATCTTAAATCATCTGATGTCTCCCGTCTTGTGCTTGCGTATCGACTATAGGTATGCTAGTCTGACAGAACACCACCTCCCCCCCCCAATCAGAGCAGCAGGTGTTTGGAGGATTGTTTCTGCTCTATTTGCACATCTGAAGACCGGACTGTTTCAACATGCGGAAAAGAAAAAAGGCTGAAGCTTAGACAGAAGGAGATGATCTGTTTTTAAGAATCACCAGAGATTTTAATTTGGGGTTAGGTCTCAGCAGCTGAACTTTGCTTTGGGTTCTCTTCCAGTAAAAGATCAACCTCTGCTTCCTTCTCTAGTAATGTCAATGCTGCCCCATGTCTGTGGAATTCCCTCCCAGACACCTTGAGGGCACCTCAGTCCACTGAGTGTTTTAAAAAAGGCCTTAAGCATTTATTTTTTGCAAAACGTTTGGTTCCCCTTAGAAGTTTCTTTTTTCTCTTTTAAAACAGCTTTTATTATTTTATTTCTTTCATCTCTATGTTTTTCTTTTTTAATGCTTTTTTAAATGCTTTTTTGTAGAACTTTGAGGCCTTTTTGGTGAAAAGTGCATTATAAATTAAATTTATTATTATTATTATTATGTCAGACTCTACAGGTGTTCATTCAGGATTTTCCTTAATTTAGCTGAAATTATCTTCCTACAAATTCTTTTTTGAGCTTCCAGCTGAAGTATGCCCCCCCCCCCCCCCCCCCCCCACACAGCATGATGCTGCCACATCTATGAGAACATTTAACTCGCCATGTACTTCTTCCCAGTAAAAGGCCATTTTGAATCATATAATTTCAATTGAATTCGGTTTATTTCTATAACTCCAATTCACAACACATGTCATCTCAGGGGCAGTTAACCAGATCATCATATTGAGACAACTAATGTCTCAATGTGTCAGATTGACTTCATGTGACCAAGCCTCCGATGTGAGCCTCTGCTTAAATGTCTGTCTTGTGCTTTCTTGTGCGAGGTTTATTGATATCTCAAACTGTATCCTGTAAGGATGTAAATAATAATCGTTTCCTATCGATCCAACAGCCGACGATCCGATGCATCGACACGTCTGCAAGAGTATCAATTCCTGTGTTTTTTTTCCTCCTGTCTATTTTTATCCATTTGCTCCTGGGCGTCAACGGAGGGACATGAGGCTCCCATCGTTCTCGCGCACCTCGCTCTGCTAGCGGGTCAAACTTCATGAGTTGTTTTCCTGCAATTTCGGTCATAAGAACAAAACAAGCCCGCCTCCTGTCTGCGGCGCTGTCTGCGGTCATGACCTTCTTATGACCTCACTATATGGCAACTCCACTCGGACAAACTGTGTTGCACCTGTTTCTTATCTGCGATACCTACTAAGATGACCTAGCTTCAAAGCATAAATCGGCCTTAACACTACAGATTCTCCCGACTCGGCACATGGACGCTGAGCGATGTTATTACCGTTGTCTGGGCAACCACAATGTTTTACATCATGTGGCAACGTACAGCTAATCATGTAGCGTAAAGTCACTGGCATGCAGCAGGACCCGAGCAGATCTGGTTCCTACATCAGCTTAACCTGCTGGGAGGGACTGTTTGTGATGTTTGGTTTTCTGAATCTGAATCACCGCAATCTTTTATTTTTTTATCTACATGACTTCATAATCAAATTAGGGTAGCTAACTCCCTAAAAAAAAGGGATGCCTCCTGTGCGTCCCAGCTGACCCGATTGCCTTCATCCCTCCTAGCGTGGTGATGATTTTTTTTAGCCTCCCTTTGTGTGATTTGACTCAAATCTGCATTGAATTAGATTCATATTTGTGAGCAATATGAACACATGGAAAACAAATTATTATCCATTAATTCACTTGATAGTAAACATAAAACAATAAATAAATAAATAAATAGCACATTTTTGTTTCAACAGCAAACTTGTAAACATATTTGTGCCTCTAATGCAATAAATGTAGACTACAGTTCTAAAACTGAAAAATACAATTAGCTCAATGCCGCGTTATGTCGTAATAGAATACTTTTACCTATTTTTATTTAGCTCATTGGTCAGAACGCAGGACAGAACGGGAACAAGATTACCGTAACCAACAAGCTCCTGTTCTTCATTTTCAATGAGCTTTTTACTGATAATGTTTTTACAGTAATACAGTAATTTTCCACTAAATACGAGAACGGTGCTTCTGTTGGTTACCGTTGGCAACCCTAAATAAATGCTTCTATTTCCTGCCATTGTTTGTCTTCATACTCACTCTGCAGTCCCAAAGGCCAGCTCAAAGTTGTGTCTGCGATTGGCAGGTGACAAAGCGTCGTAATCAAACTCAGTGGGAAAGAAGGAGTGGACCAGGGCGCAGAAAGCCATGCCGTCACTCCAACTGGACGAGAAGTTCTGCATGTCGATGTTCTGCACAGAAACCAGCAGAAAGATCTAAGGATGAGGAAGGAAAATCCTCCATGCATTCAAACCAGACAGGCAGCCTGTCGTAGTTTCATTAAAGCCGTCTCATCGCCGACTGTCTGGCCCATAATGATGATGCGTAAACCAGACATCCTCTCCTCCACTGCCGACTCTCTCAGAACTTTGAAATGCTGCAACGCAAAGGCTGCATTTTATTAGTCTGGTGATTTGCTGAAAATGCAACCTGAGACGAAAAGTAATTCTCTGCAAGCTTTCATCAGACTTTTATGATGATATTGATTTTCAATGTAAGCTAATCAGCTTCTGTCTCAGAGGTGGAAATAAAATCTGCTGGAGCAAAAAGGAAGAGCAGGTACTGCTGTTCATGGAAGCTTCGAAACGATCAGGACAAAAAAAACAAAACTGAAGTCTAATGATTTTAAATCTAAACTGTTCCTGACCACAAAACAGATTCCAGACCATCGAAAAAATTCTGTAAAAACGTAAGTACATCCTTTCTGCGTTGAAGGGACTTCACCAGAAGGGGAATTGTCACTCAAAAACTGATCATCTGTAAACTTCTATGAGGTTTGAACCAAACACAACCTAAAAACCTTCCTCTGAGTCTGACACAGAAAGACCCCCCAACTGGAAACATTCAACCCTTGGCAGTTTAGACCACACTGACAGACGAGAAAAAAATGTGACTATAAAATTCTCCGTTTGATGGTTTAAAGTTTAGGTTCATGACAAAACAATAATAAAAAACATTTTGGCGGCACTTCTAAGGCTTTCAAGGATAAATAAACCGCAGGACGGGTTATAAATGATTTAGATCCTGAAGGAGAGATGCTTTCCCTCCATCATTAGAGGAAACCAAACATAGGCAGTGGTCAAGCACAGTGGTGGAGGAGTGATGATTTGAGACTTCCCTGCAGGACCTGGGTTCAACCATCTGATATATATCTGATAGCCATTTCATTTTTTATTGTTAATTTGATTTTCTGCTTTTAAAGGCTGATTTAAAAGGTTTTAGGAAATGTAAAAAAAAAAAAAAAAAAGCTGCTAACTTGAAGCTGTTCTGAAACCTACACTTGTTTTTACATGCCTTTAATTTGGTTAGTACACTGGAAAAACGATCTAGAAATAAGGGAAAAAAACCCTAAATAAGTGTATTTACCCTTAATTTGAGTATGCAAATGAGATACTTTGATAATGGAATGAGTATTTTTATTCTTAAAAAAAGGAAATTAGATAAAAAAAAATGGCATCCCCCTTCTAAAAAAGATCTACCCCCCGCCTGCCTGCCTTACCGGCCGCCCAGCCATGCTAACTATGTAGGGGCAGTGATAGCCATGCTAACTATGTAGGGGCAGAAGTAGCCATGCTAACTCTGTAGGGGCAATGATACCCATGCTAACTATGTAGGGGCAGTGATAGCCATGCTAACTATGTAGGGGCAGAAGTAGCCATGCTAACTCTGTAGGGGCAATGATACCCATGCTAACTATGTAGGGGCAGTGATAGCCATGCTAACTATGTAGGGGCAGAAGTAGCCATGCTAACTTTGTAGGGGCAGAGGTAGCCATGCTAACTGTGCAGGGGCAGAGGTAGCCATGCTAACTATGTAGGGGCAGAAGTAGCCATGCTAACTCTGTAGGGGCAATGATACCCATGCTAACTATGTAGGGGCAGTGATAGCCATGCTAACTATGTAGGGGCAGAAGTAGCCATGCTAACTCTGTAGGGGCAATGATACCCATGCTAACTATGTAGGGGCAGTGATAGCCATGCTAACTATGTAGGGGCAGAAGTAGCCATGCTAACTCTGTAGGGGCAATGATACCCATGCTAACTATGTAGGGGCAGTGATAGCCATGCTAACTATGTAGGGGCAGAAGTAGCCATGCTAACTTTGTAGGGGCAGAGGTAGCCATGCTAACTGTGCAGGGGCAGAGGTAGCCATGCTAACTCTGTAGGGGCAGTGATAGCCATGCTATGTAGGGGCAGAGTTAGCCATGCTAACTCTGTAGGGGCAGTGATAGCCATGCTATGTAGGGGCAGAGGTAGCCATGCTAACTACGTAGGGGCAGAGGTAGCCATGCTAACTGTGCAGGGGCAGAGGTAGCCATGCTAACTCTGTAGGGGCAGTGATAGCCATGCTATGTAGGGGCAGAGTTAGCCATGCTAACTCTGTAGGGGCAGTGATAGCCATGCTATGTAGGGGCAGAGGTAGCCATGCTAACTATGTAGGGGCAGTGATAGCCATGCTAACTATATACGGGCAGTACTAGCCATGCTAACTATGTAGGGGCAGAGGTAGCCATGCTAACTGTGCAGGGGCAGTGATAGCCATGCTAACTATGTAGGAGCAGTGGTAGCCATGCTATGTAGGGGCAGAGGTAGCCATGCTAACTCTGTAGGGGCAGTGATAGCCATGCTATGTAGGGGCAGAGGTAGCCATGCTAACTGTGCAGGGGCAGAGGTAGCCATGCTAACTCTGTAGGGGCAGTGATAGCCATGCTATGTAGGGGCAGAGGTAGCCATGCTAACTCTGTAGGGGCAGTGATAGCCATGCTATGTAGGGGCAGAGGTAGCCATGCTAACTCTGTAGGGGCAATGATACCCATGCTAACTATGTAGGGGCAGTAATAGCCATGCTAACTATGTAGGGGCAGAAGTAGCCATGCTAACTCTGTAGGGGCAGTGATAGCCATGCTATGTAGGGGCAGAGGTAGCCATGCTAACTATGTAGAGGCAGAGGTAGCCATGCTAACTGTGTAGGGGCAGTGATAGCCATGCTATGTAGGGGCAGAGGTAGCCATGCTAACTATGTAGAGGCAGAGGTAGCCATGCTAACTGTGTAGGGGCAGAGGTAGCCATGCTAACTATGTAGGGGCAGTGATAGCCATGCTAACTATGTAGGGGCAGAAGTAGCCATGCTAACTCTGTAGGGGCAATGATACCCATGCTAACTATGTAGGGGCAGTGATAGCCATGCTAACTATGTAGGGGCAGAAGTAGCCATGCTAACTCTGTAGGGGCAGTGATAGCCATGCTAACTATGTAGGGGCAGAAGTAGCCGTGCTAACTTTGTAGGGGCAGAGGTAGCCATGCTAACTGTGCAGGGGCAGAGGTAGCCATGCTAACTCTGTAGGGGCAGTGATAGCCATGCTATGTAGGGGCAGAGTTAGCCATGCTAACTCTGTAGGGGCAGTGATAGCCATGCTATGTAGGGGCAGAGGTAGCCATGCTATGTAGGGGCAGAGGTAGCCATGCTAACTACGTAGGGGCAGAGGTAGCCATGCTAACTGTGCAGGGGCAGAGGTAGCCATGCTAACTCTGTAGGGGCAGTGATAGCCATGCTATGTAGGGGCAGAGGTAGCCATGCTAACTATGTAGGGGCAGTGATAGCCATGCTAACTATGTAGGGGCAGTGATAGCCATGCTAACTATATACGGGCAGTACTAGCCATGCTAACTATGTAGGGGCAGAGGTAGCCATGCTAACTGTGCAGGGGCAGTGATAGCCATGCTAACTATGTAGGGGCAGTGGTAGCCATGCTATGTAGGGGCAGAGGTAGCCATGCTAACTCTGTAGGGGCAGTGATAGCCATGCTATGTAGGGGCAGAGGTAGCCATGCTAACTGTGCAGGGGCAGAGGTAGCCATGCTAACTCTGTAGGGGCAGTGATAGCCATGCTATGTAGGGGCAGAGGTAGCCATGCTAACTCTGTAGGGGCAGTGATAGCCATGCTATGTAGGGGCAGAGGTAGCCATGCTAACTCTGTAGGGGCAATGATACCCATGCTAACTATGTAGGGGCAGTGATAGCCATGCTAACTATGTAGGGGCAGAAGTAGCCATGCTAACTCTGTAGGGGCAGTGATAGCCATGCTATGTAGGGGCAGAGGTAGCCATGCTAACTATGTAGAGGCAGAGGTAGCCATGCTAACTGTGTAGGGGCAGAGGTAGCCATGCTAACTATGTAGGGGCAGTGATAGCCATGCTAACTATGTAGGGGCAGAAGTAGCCATGCTAACTCTGTAGGGGCAATGATAGCCATGCTATGTAGGGGCAGAGGTAGCCATGCTAACTGTGCAGGGGCAGTGATAGCCATGCCAGTCCATGGACTGACTGCAGTTCTACTGTAAGGTGCCTTGGTCAAGGTCAGTGACCGGCGTACCTGACATGGAATAATCAGACCATGCATATTGCTTTAGGTTAACAGACTATATTCATCAGGCTATGTATGCTTCAGAAAAAGAAAAAAAAATCCACCATCCCTCTTCGTTCTTTTAACAACTCGACAACTGATCGTAACAGAGACAAAATGCAGCTGATCTGATTTGTTTTGGATCAAACTGGTGCCAATCTTTCACCTGGTAGCCAACAGTCTTAGAACGGCACCATTCCAGGAGAATCTGCTTGATGCTGCTGGCGCTGGATACGCCGAAACTCTGCGAGCGCTTCAGCCCTGCTTGTTTAGGGCGGCTGAGCAGAGGAGAGAAAAGAGACCCATCAGACGTCAGAGCACTTCTGTCCCAAAGAAACAACAGCTCAGCGCTTCTTTAGTCTCACCTCTTCCCGGCTTCAGAGTCTAATCTTTCGAATAGAGATCGACGGGTCTGAGCGCCGATGCTACGAGGGAGAGTCTGAGATCTCACCAGCTCCCGCCTCCGCTCTCCCACCTGGCCCAAGGCTCTGTCGTCTCTGTGGGGTTCACCAGCATCATATAAAGCAGTACCAAGGACATTTTCCCAAAGGTTTGTTTACTCCAAACACTCACCTGTCGGGCTGCGGCAGCCCTGAGTAGGTCACAGACTTTGCAGGAGCTGAGTTTGCTTTTTCTGGTGCAGAGATCCATCAGAGGAAATCAGCTGTGGTGTTCTTTTAATGCATGGATGATTAAAACGCTGTTTAACACTCACCCTGGAGATCTGCTGATCCCAGAGCTCCTGCAGGTGTAGACGTCCATGTCTTGGAGACAGAGGCTGACAGAAGGGAGACCAGAATCAGTTTGGGTTCGATTGTCGTCCAAAAGCAGACATGAATTATATGAAGGAGGAAAATGGTAAATGTCCTGAAGTTATATAGCGCACTGGAGTGCTTTACACTACATTCAGTTATTCATCCATTCACGCACCCACAGCTGCCCTGGGGCTCACTGACAGATGGGAAAACGTCCATCAAACATCCAGGCACCACCAGTCCCTCCGAGGGGAGCAGGCAATGCAGGTGAAGTGTCTTGCCCAAGGGCACAACAACACTGAAAGCATGAGCAGGGACTTGAACCTTTAGTGAACTTTCAGTGTAGTCCTGTTTCTCTGACTGTGACTAACTGGATGTGCTCTCTTCATCCTCTGACATGGGAGCTGGCTCGGAGCTCGTCTGCCTGGTTGTGTGTTTCCTGGACGGGGCCGCCTGTGGAGCTGGTTGACAGTTGCCTTTTGTATCTATGCTTCTTTTTCTATGTCTGCTTCTGTCTCCTTGAACCCCAGTGGGCCTCAGCAGATGGCCGCTCACACTGAGCCTGGTTCTGATGGAGGTTTCTTCCTGTTCAAAGGGAGTTTTTCCTCTCCACTGTCGCTACAAGCATGCTTAGTGTGAGGGATTGCTGAAGAGTCAATGAGTCGATGCAATCAGCTGGTTTGAGATGACATGTGTTGTGAAAATACATTTGATGAAGCTTAACACACCTTGCTGAAGGCCAGAGTCGTCTGCTGGCTGAGAGGAAGTGGGAGCGGAGTTATTGCTGGGAGAATCCTCAGAGAGCGGGGAGGACAGGGAGCCAACGGGGCTGCCGGGAGAAGGCCTGATTTCAACCGTCTTGGTTGTAGCTGTGATGGGGAGATGGGGCATCCGCAACGTGACAGGAGCTGCATGTTCAACAAGGCCGTCTGTGGGGGGGGGGATCTTTCCATGCAGAGATACGGAACGTTCCTCTGCAAGAATAATCATTCTAGGTTTAGATCAGGCTCTGAGCAAGTTGAATCTAAAATCAAATGGGAGATTCAGGTACCTGTAGCAGCAGCAGGCCCAGGCTCCAGTCCAGGGTGCATCGGGGCCGGGTCCACTTCTATCGGCTCCTCCCGCTCGATGCTCTGGAACAAAGGCTAGGTTAGAAACATATAAGCACCATCTACACTTTCCTCTGAAACCGATCTGTGCCAGGTTCAGACCGACCTTGGATCATTTAACCGTGGCGAGCTCGGCTCCTTATGACCGTTTTACACACCACATGAACACGGTTCATCGCCTCCTGGTGGCGATCTCCGGTACTACTGCCCTCTAGAGGGAAACAAGCAATCCAACATGGCGGCACCCCTAGCATTCAGGAAGTTTGCGAGAGTCAGGCGAAGAAGGCAGCGCTTTGGTGAATTTACTCAACAGAGTCGGCTTTTGGGAAGTGGATACGACAAATGATAGTCTGATCAGGGCTTACAGACGCAGGAAACAACTGCTGTTCCAAACGTTGCATTTCCGACATCTCCCGAGTGGTGCCCGACTTTACACGAGTGAATAAAGTGAATGTGATTGGTCGATTATCAAGGGGGCGGATTGTTGTGGTGGAAGGTTCGCAAGCAAGTTTGGTTGTGGCCGGTTTGTGGGAAGCATCTTGCTAACCAGTTAGCAACTTAGTGCTAGCAGGTTCCCAATGGGAAATTCCATTGGGACCAAGTAGCACTAAATTGGTGACTTAGAAACGACGCTGTCAAGGAACGCTATGGACAGCGGAAACATGCAAGAGGAGGAGAGTTTAGTGTCGGAGGTCGTGGATGAGTCTCCTCCGTCATCCATTTTTTATTCAGAGGAGGAAAGCGGGGACGAAGATGTTGTGGAAGAGGACGCCAGGGCGGCAGAAGCTTGGTTTGGTGTAGAAGGCTTCCAGCCGTACATGTTTGAGCCCTTGCCTCGCAACGCTGCCAGTTCTGTTAGCTCTACGCCTGCCGAAGACACAGACGTCCATCCCCGTGAACACTGGGACGCAACTCAATGGGAAAGGAAAGGATTCTGATTTCAACCGTTGCGTATATTAGCTGAGACACATGAATCAAGATGCTATGACAGAAAACATTTGATTGACAGATGACCGTTGATATATGATTGGCTGAATTTAGGTGTTCAGGCTGACGTAGAACTAACTGGCCTGCAGAAGATAACAGGAAAAAACACAGATTTTAAGACAGTATTGTTTAAAAAAATAGAAATTCTAAATTTTGGGACAATATGGTCTGATAATGAGAACATTTATATACATGTTAGGGCCAGAATGATTTGACATTTAAATATGATTTCCGTAAGACCTTAAATGGGACAACGAAGCATGTTTGACCCTTGGTCCTTCTAGTTGCTACCGAAAGAAACTTGGAATATATAGTATAACATACACTCAATAATTTACATACATTCTTGATTTGTGTCACTGTGTGTATTTTATTAAATATTTCACCTTATGTAGCTTTGTGGATATAGTGAGTTAACTTTTCAATGGAACTATCCCAGTTCTCAATAATATCAAGAACCAGGACTTTTTTATTTTCTTCCATTCAACCTTGACTGTAGCTGGAACAAAGAATTAGGGGGAACAATAGGTAGCTCTGGTCCCGATTAACATGGAGGTCATCTGGGTGGTTAATGGTCGTTAGGGGGCAGGAGCAGATTTACCATCAGGCAATACTAGGCAGCTGCCTTGGGCCCAAGTTCCTGGGGGCCCCATAAAACTCTGTTTCCATGTATGGTTAATACAACTATTCCTTGTTTATGCACATTAATTATGTTTTTGATAAAAATCCTTTGGCTAAAACTGTCAGGATTCGGTGTTGGTTTGGAGGACCCAAATGCAGAGGAAAGTTGGCAGAGGTGAATTTTGGTGGGTTTAATGAGGTTTACAGGTACGGAGGCAGCAATCAAAGATCCAACAAAAAATAACAACGAACCAGAACCAAGGAGACATCAGGGGAAACCAAACTCTAGGAGCCAGGGAGAGACGAGGTAAGCAGACAGACGTTAGACGAGGATCCAGCAAACAGGAACTGAAGAGGGAGGGCTTTTAAAGGGGACAGAGACAAAGAGAGGGCTAACGAGGGAATTGGAAACAGGTGAGGGCAGAGCAGAAAACAGAGCTAGGGAAAGAGGACACAAGAGGGCAGCAGAGGACAACAAATGGAAAACCAGGAAGACAGGAACTAACAAGAAAATAATAATTAAACACTAAAACAAGAAGCAAAGTAAAGCTGAATACTCTAAATAAACATAACTAAACCAAGACTGTGACAAAAACACCATCAGAACGCTGATAATATTAAGTGTGTCTCAGCCCCCCCCTTCAGTGTCCACCATATTGGATCAGTCCATTTGCTGCACATGTTCAGAAAGGTCCAAACAGAGAGCAGCAAACCATTTGAAAACAAACCATGCAAAGAGCAGTGTTGCCAACTTAGCGCTTTAGTCGCTACATTTAGCCACTTTTCAGACCCCTCTAGCACTTTTTGAAAACCACTTATTTATAAATAATAAAATTTCAAATTAAATTCTGTATCTGAATAATGGGTCTGTTTTATGTGTCGTCTTTTCAATTCAGAAGGCCCCATGCATGTCTTTGCCTAGGGCCCCAAATTTCCTAAATCCACCCATTGGGGGTTCTAATGGGTCGTTAACTCCCTTGTCAGAGTGGTTTCGGTCACATGCCTCATTGAAGTTTTTTTTAGGCAGGTTATGTCTGAGACCACCTCCTCTCTTGAGAGATGGTTTTTCCAGGTTAACAAAGATGGCTTCCTTAACCCGTCTCTCAAACCATCTGTCTTTCTTGGCCAGATTATGGACGTTGTTGTCCTCAAAGAAGTGTCCTCTGAAGCTTAGAAAAGCACCACATTGTGGAGATACGACCCAGGAGGTTGTTATTTTGTTCTTAAAGCTCAATTTTTGGCTTTATTTTCTAACACAAGAAGCTTGAGTTTGCATTGAAGAGAAACTTTCTTTGCTGCTCTGGGTTGCTAATCTAAACCCGGAAGAGACAGCTGCATCTCAAACCCACGTAGAGCTGCTGACAATTGCTTCCTCTATAGTCCGTCACACAGAGCCAGAGATGCTAACCAGCTCACTTACAAAAGAACAACACCACTGGGTCAAAAGTGCACTGGTGAAAGCTGTGCACGTTTTCTCATACTAAGACCCAAAGCACACAAACAGATCCAGAATCAGGATGTTCACAGGTTTAATGTTGCCCTCATCAAACCACATGAAAAAGACCAACTTTTTCTGACTTAAAATAAAAACATGTGGAGGAACAGATGGTGAACGTCACTCTGTTTCCTCACATGTTTGAGCAAATGCATCACTTGATCACCTTATTTCACCACCTAGTTTAGTGTTTTGGAAGGTCTGTAGCTGCAGCATCTGGTCAGAAAGCATGAAATGAAAAGATCCCAGAAGCTTTGGCATCCAGCCACAGGCTGACTGCCTCACCGTTTTATGGCTGTGGCACGAGTAACGAGGAGCCGTGCCAGGACCGACCCAGGAACACCGAGATAATGCTGCAGTTTCCCCCCAAAAAACATCCTTTATGGCATCTAAGGTCAGGTATAAAACTAGTTTATAAGGAAGTAAAAAAAATCTATTTTCTATCTATAGAACAGGCCCCGCCCATCACCTGGCATCATTCGGCTGTAATGAGCTCAGTCAGACGTGCTCCTGCTCCCACATGCTAAACTAAAGACTTAACAAAGCAAATCTCTGAAAAAAGTAAAGGTTGGAGCTAAAACAACAACCAGCTTAATACTTTTATACATGACTGTCTGGAAAGAAACGGACCGAAAGCTAAAACAGAGAACAACACGTTGCTGGCGCTGTAGAGAGGATTTGGTTTATCTCATCATGGAGGAATGCTGGCGGGTCATGAGTGTTAAAAACCGGCAAGATGAGACACAGCGTGTGGAATTGAGAGCGTCTGTGGTGAGATGTTGCTGTTGTTTAAAGGGCTGCGAACTCGTTAAATGAGGGGAAAATGGAGAATGTAGTCGACTGGAGGAGCTCAGGAGTGCGGAGCTGTCGTTTCAGGCGGCATTGATGAAAATGACAGACGAGACAAGCTGGGCTGTGGCGACACCTTTGTTTTAATTTTTATCCTTTGTATTGAGGAGGAAAACATGATAGTGCACTCAGCAAGCCTGGGGTTAAAGGTCATAGCCACAACGATCAGTAAAAAAAAAAATAATGCTTCACCAGAACATCTGAAGTGGTGCACAAAAAAATAATAATTTTTTCAAAGAAAATAGGATTTAAATATTTATTTAATGTATATTGACGGGTCCAAAATATATAAATATTTACTTGTGGTTACCATGGCAACACAGAGATGAAATGATGGAGCGCCAATGGGAAGCATTAGGGAGTCATGTGACACGGAGCTCATGTGTCTCCAGATCCTAGTGGCTCCACCATGGAGCTAAGAAACGGTTTCTTCTTCTTCTTTTTCTCTGCGTTAATTTTTTCAGATTTAAGCTGAAACAAACTAAAAGAACCAAAATGAAGAGAACATTGGTGATGCTCCAAAACATTGGTGTCGACTGATGGAATCGAAGGAGCTCAATAAGGAGCAAAGACGGGCTATTTTCCTCCTTAAATGTTTGGTTTGGCCAGCATTAGCCAGCATGGCCGCTGCTCTGCAAAAAGTTTAGAAGTAATGTGAGCGACTATGACTCTGACCTCAAGCTTTTACCTTTAAATCTAATCTAATTGTTGCTTTATTCTTTATCCTGCAGCTTCACTTGGATCCAGGCTGAGCAGAAGCAAAAGTTTTGCCAGTTTCTTCTGCTTTTTTCTCGCCTTGAAATCTGCCTGTCTGCACTGCAAAAAATGGAAATCTAAGTGAGTAATTTTTTCTTAAAATAAGTAAATTTTTTCTCGAATTGAGGACGAAAGTGTGACACTTTGCCAATGGAACAAGACAATTTACATTTGAAATAAGAAAAAACTATTGCATTGTCTTATTTTAAGAGTGAAGATACTAATTTCATTGGCAAATCATCTTATTTACCTGCTCAAATTAAGGGTAAATACACTTAATTTAAGAAATTTTTACTTATTTCTAGATCCTTTTTGC